ATTTTAGCATGAATGGCTATTGAATTTTATCAATGATTCTGCCTTTTCTGCCTCTATTTAGATGTTCATACGGTTTTTCTTGTTTATTCTGCCTCTATTTAGATGTTCATATGGTTTTTCTTGTTTATTCTATTAAAGTACTGAATTACAATGGATTTTGAAAATATTAAACCAACTGTGAATTCCTGAAATAAATATAACATGTTTGTGATATTGTTCATGATCCTTTTTATATATTGTTGGATCAAGTTTGCTGATATTAAGTTTAGGAATTTTGCGTGTGTGTTCATGAAAGAGACTGAGCTGTAATTTTCCTTTCTAATAATGTCTTTATCAGATTTTGGAATCAAGGTTAATTCAGCATCCTAAAGTAAAGGGAGAAGTAACGTTTCTTTTCTCCCTCATTAGCATAACTAAGGCATTCCTATCACTCAGGAAATTCCAAGGGTTTTTGGTGAAACTCTGTGTCAGGAATCTGGGACAAACACCAGATATGTTCTTTATTATAACACCACACGGACACACACACACATATAGGCACACACACCACACAGACACACACACACACAAACAAGAGAGCTAGAGAAAGAGAGTTGTTGAAAAATTGGCTGATATTAATATACTTGTGGGGGCTGACAAATCCAAAATTCTTGAGGCAGGCTGGAAACAGGCAGGGTTTCTATGTTCATCTTTTAAAAAAAAATTAAATTAAATTATTATTTTTTAATTGAAGTATAGTTGACACACAATGTTACATTAGTTTCAGATGTACAACATAGTAATTCAACATATGTTTCAATTTTGAGGCAGAATTCTTTCCTTTTCAGAAAACCTCACTCTGCTCTAAGACCAGCAACTGATTGGATGATGCCTGCTTACATGATGGAGGCTGATCTACCTTGTTTAAAGTCTACTGATATTATTTTTCTTAAATATTTTTTTCTGGGGCACCTGGGTGGCTCAATCGGTTAAGCACCTGCCTTCGGCTCAGGTCATGATCCCATGGTCCTGGGATTGAGCCCTGCACTGGGCTCCCTGCTTAGCGGAGAGCCTGCTTCTCCCTCTCCCTCTGCCTGCCTCTCTGCCTACTTGTGCTCTCTCTCTAGCTCTCTGACAAATAAATAAATAAAATCTTTAAAAAAAATAAATATTTTAAAATATTTTCATTTATTTGTCAGAGAGAGGGAGAGAGAGAGAGAGGCAGGCAGAGGGAGAATCAGGCTCCCCGGCAAGCAAGGAGCCCAATGCAGAACTTGATATTGGGGTTGTAAGTTCAAGCCCCATGTTGGGTGGGGACATTATTTTAAAACGAAATCTTTAGGGGCAATTGGGTGGCTCAGTCGGTTAAGCATCTGACTCTTGATCTCAGCTCAGGTCTTGATCTTGATCTTTATCTTGATCTTAGGGTTGTGAGATCAAGCGCTGCATTGGGCCCAGTGTGGAGCCTACTTAAAAAAATACAACTGATTTTTGTGTGTTGATACTGTATTCTGTAACTTTGCTAAATTCATTTATTAGTTCTAATTGGGTTTTGTGTGTGTGTGTATTCTTTAGGATTTTCTGTAAATAAGATTATGTCATCTGTGAATAGAGATAGAGATTGTTTAACATTTTCCTTTCCAATTTAGATGGCTTTTATTTTTCTTACCTAATTTCTCTGGTTGGAGTTTCTAGTACAATGTTAAAGAAAAGTAGTGAAAGTGAGCATCCTTGTCTGTTCCCTACCTTAAAAGGAAAGCTCTCAATCTTTCACGATTAAGAATGATATTAGCTGTGGGTTTTTCATTAATACCCTTTACTCTATTGAGGAAGTTCCCTTCTATCCCTAGTTTGTTGAGTGTTTTTATTTTTATTTTTTAAATCATGAATGGGTATTGGATTTTGCCAATCCTTTTTCTCCATCAATTGAGATAATTGTTCAGTTTTTTTCTCCTTCATGTTATTCATGTGGTATATCACATTGTTTACTTTCTTATGTTGGATCCACCATTCTTGGGAGAAATCTTGCTTTTAACACTTTTATCCAACATTGTTTAGCTAAAACATTTGGCAATACTATGAATAATATTGTGTAGGCTCTTATAATACAATCTCAGAGACTGATGTCCTGATTCAAAAGGGAGAAATAAAAATTGTTTTATTTGAAATGGTAACAAATGTCATTTCTGCCTTTAAAATGGCCTGGAACATGCTTGCAAAAAACCCAGGAGTTTACAAACTACTGATTAGGAAATTCTGACCTAAAGGATAAAATAAAAATTCTACCATTTGGCAAAATCTGGCTTCCACTTATATTTTCAGCTTCATCTCTTACTACTTAGCAAAAGTACACCTGACAATCATGCCGTTATAATCTTTTTGGTGATGTTCCCACTTGCCTGGAATGCTCTTTCTTTACCTGAAAACTTTCTGCTGATTCTTCAAACTCCAGGACAAATGGCAACTTCTTGAGTAATTTTCCCCTTCTCTCCCAGGAAGTCAATCATTGTCCTTTTATTCTCCAACACTTATTATTTCTGTTTCAGCATTTACCACACAATATTATAACTTAGCTCTTTAGACATCTGTTCTCCCTATTAATGTGAATTTCCAGAATACTGGAGTCATATTTATCTTTGTAGTCCTAGCACCCAACATAATGCCTAGAACTTAATAAGTACTCATTAAATGATTTATGAATAAGTGAACGGGGTGGCAATTGTTGCTGTAGTTATGGACACCAACTGTATCAATATTTGTGTCTGTAAGAGGAAATGTGCTGTTGATTTTCTAACCTAGAACATTTTCTGATTTTATTTTTTCTTTTTGTGCCTCTCTAGACTTCAAAGCAGCATAAATTGAAAAAGATCCAGAAACTCACAGGTCAGAAAGATCCTATCCTTCATACTTCAGTTCAAGGCTAAATGACAAATCAACAGTGGGTCTGCTTTAAGACTCCAGACTTTAATAACAGGTGGAGGGAGGGAGGTTGAAAAAGATTACATAAGTGAAAGAAATGTGCTTATTCTTTCTAGCAACTTCCAAAGAGATGTAAACAGATTTACAATTCTTCCTATGCTTCCTTTCCTCATGCTTTCTTTCCTAATTTCCTCTCGTGCAGAACTGAAAGTTTCAGGAAAGAAAATTGGTGAGATTAGCGTTTAGTGCAGGAAGTTTCAATACTTTTTTCCCTGTCATGGGCTCTGGATAGACTCCTTTGGAGGAAAAAATATGTGTTATGAACTTTTGTTTCCCCTACTCCAACTCCCTACTACCATGATTGTTCCTGCTCTTTCCAATGGCTTAATCTACTACATGGTGAAGGCAGCATAGTATAGTTCAAAGTATAAAAACTTGAGACCTGGGTTAAGTCTGAGCTCTACCACTGATTAACTTTATGAACCTGCACATGATTTCACCTTTTCTTATTTGTGAAATAAGGGGGTGGAACAAGGTGGTATCAACAATTAGGATGCTAAAAGCTTCTTTACCTCTGCTCCCAGCTTCCCAGTGGGAAGAAAATCTCAGGATGGTTTGCCCTGAAGCTAATCTGACACAGTGAGTAAAGTTGATCTTCACTATCAAGTCTTTCTCTCTCCAGTCAAACCTACTGATAAACTCTGTAAAGTTTAGGAGAAAGGTACCTAGTATTGTTTTACTTCCCTCACGATGACAGCTATTTCCTTTCTAAGTTAAGTCACCCTTCTTATTGGTTTCCTTACTAGTACTTTAATATCACTTCAATTACATTGACACACCCTGTTGTATCCAGCTTTTCAGGACTCCCTGTGGGATGGGCCCAGGAATATATACTCTGGTCAATGGACAGAAGTCTTCAACAGATCTTCCAACATCTGGAATGTGCAAGGTCAGGGAAGGTAGTTTCTGGGAGGAGGTTGAAGGTGGTGGAAGTTTTTGTTTCAAGTAAACTCTACCCCCAATGTGGGGCTTGAACTCACAACCCTGAGATCAAGAATTGCATGCTCTACCAACTGAACCAGCCAGGCACCCCAAAGGTGGTAGAACTTTTAAGAGGGAAGGAGGAAGAGACTGAAGAAGGGACGTAGTAGGGAGGGAAGGAGGGATGGAAAGAGAGAAGGGAAAAACGAGATTGTTGGTTGGTTGGTTATTTACTTAGTTTTGGCAGTGGGGATAAATTCTGGGTCCAGAGGTTTAAGAACAACTGGTCTATGGATCATTTCTGATTGGTAGAGGATCATTTCCTCCTGGTAGAGGAATTCTATCCATAATAGATGGATATTGATATTGGGGAAAGCAACCTCTTTTGTTGTTGTTGTTCTCTCTCAGGCCAAAATATTTCACATTTGAAATAGCCAGTATCTTTCCCTTTTCCTACCTTTTTCTGCTTCAAAGCAAATGGAAACTTTTCTTTATTTCTTAGATCAAGTCTTATGGAATTGTGTTTGCCTGAACCACAGGATACGATTTCTTCCTCCACCTCTTCTGTGCTTGTGGCTCAGGAGCCTATTCTACCCTGTTGTGGCTGTAAGAAGGCAAAACATTCTACTGACCACAGCATCTCCTCTGGATCATCATGCAACAACTCCAGCCTGTCACGCCTTCCTGTCTTTTCTGAAGGAACAACCTGGAAACTCCGGAGCCATAGTTTACCTCTTTTACCCAAAAACCAGTCTTCTGTGTTCAGGAACCAAGGCACATCCCTGCGTCCTTTTCAGCTCTCAGAGTTTGGGAAATCAAAACTTTTTCAGAATTTGGCAGCTCTTTCACCCTTAAGATCCCAAAGCTCTTTTACCAACTCTGTGTTTGAATCTCCAGATCTTTGCCAACAAGAAAAAACAAAGAATGGGAGAGAGAGCAAGAGACATTTGACATTGGATCATGGGCCAGATTTTATTTTCAAGGCAAGACCACGATTCTCAGGATGGGCTCCAATCCGACTCTCTCCTTTGGCTAGGTGGGAGTTAGAGGGACATATGGCCTGGAAGGTTTATACTTTGAGGGAACAAACAGTGCCTCTGCCTGTGAGGGAATCATGGGCAATGCTGAATTATTTAATTGAGGCACAAGGAGGAGTTCCTGAACCAGAGAAACCTCAAATCCAGGTATCTATTCCCATTCATCAAAGCACTGAACAAGGTCTCAACAATAAATCCCCAAACTGTCCATCATTTCAGCTCCATGTGAATATTGGAGTGGAATCTGGGTTAAATAGAACAGAAACAAAAATTTCACAGTCACTTATCCCAGGTAAGCAGTCACAACCTGGGGACAGCCCCCAAATCCTTGAAACCAGGCCCTTAGTTACATCTTTGGGCACTCCACCTCCCAAAAGTTTAGGAGCTGACATAATTCAGGAGGAAACCACTTTACTGCAGAAGGAGCCAAAACATGTCCTGGAACCTAATATAGAGCAGAGGGTCATAGATCTTCCAGAAAAAAGGATACAACAGCATAAGACCCACGTGACTAATGTGGAGTTGACACCAAGGCTACCATATCAAGTTGCAGATAGCATAAAGGTAACTCCTTTGGCATTACTTCAAGTCATGGATTCAATGGGGCTGATCCCAGAATCACATTCAGAAGTGATAGAATCTGTGGGTTTGTTCTCACAGCCACCAGACAAAGTTGGGAAACCAATGGAAACCCTGAAAAAAGTGAATGTAAGCACAAAACCATCATATCAAGTCACTGAATCAGTGGAGGTAACACCAAGTCCTCAGCATCAAGTTATGAAATCAAAGATAACCTCAAGACCACCGAATCAAGTCACAGATAATACGAAGGTAACTCCTGTAGCATTGCTTCAAGTCATGGATTCTATGGGGATGATTAATAAGTCACATGCACATATCATAGAATCAGTGGGAATAACCCCAAGAACATCATCTCAAGCCATGGAATCAGGGGAAATCAACACATTGTTGGACCATGAAGTCATACCACCAGGAAAGATGAGTCCAAAGGCACAACATGCAGTTGTGGAAACTGTGGAAATCACTGTAGGACTGCAGCCTGAAGTTAGTGATTCAGTGGACATAACCTCAAAGCCACCAAGTCAAATCATAGAACCACTGAAGGTTCCTTCAGAGGCAGTATGTCAAACCACAAGATCACTGGAAATGATCTCCAGTCCATTGCATCAAGTTATGGATTACACAAAAGTAACTCCAGTGGCACTATTACAAGCTATGGATTTCATGGGGATAATTCCACCAGCACAGCCACATATTATAGAATCTGGAGATTCACAATCTAAAATTGCAAATTTGGCCCCAGGAGCAACTCAGCCAGATGGTTTGACTTCTTTTAGCTCTCCTCCTACTATTGGTCCACCTGGAGTTGTAGAATCTGTGGGTTTACCCCCAAAGCCCCCACTTAAAGTTACAGAATCAGTAGGGATGATTCCAATGCCATCACATCAATCCATACATTCTTTAAAGGTAGCTCCAGTAGCACTGGAGTCACCCATGGGAATGATCATAGCACCACAATCACAAGTTGCGGAAACTCAGGATTTGACCACAAGGCCAGTATCTCAAGTCAAGGAATCTCTGGAGTTGACTCCTGGGTCATGGATTCAAGTGCTAGACTCTGTGGAGATGACTCCACAACCATATCATCAAGGCACAGATACTATGGAATTAACCCCAGGGCTACCTCATCAAGTCATGGAATCTCCAAGGTTGACCCAGTGGCATCAAATCTTAGAATCTTCAGAGATGAGTCCAAGGCAAAGCCGTCAAATTATAGAAACTATGGAGTTGGCCTCTGACCCTGTAATCAGAAATCTGACTGAGTCGACACAGTCACAGCATCAAATAATGGAACCTTTAGGGACAGTCCCAAGGTCACTGGGTCAAAGTACAGCATCTAAGGGAATGAGCCAAAAGCCACTGCATCAAGTCACAGAATCTGCAGGAATGACCACTCCATCACTGCTTCCAGGTGTAGAATATTTGGGGGTGAAGCCAATGCCACAACTTAAGGCTATGGATTCTATGAAGTTATCCCCAGGATTGCAAAATGTAAAATCTATAGACATAACCCCAGGTCCAGTCCCACAAATGGTAAAATATGGACAGCTAATCCCAACTGTGAACCCTAGAGAATTGGTCCCAGAACTTCAACTGCAGATTGTAAAATCTAATGAGTTGGCCCCTATTCCACAGCTGGAAAGTGAGAATTCTGTGCAGTTAGCCCCAGGGTCTCAGCTTCAAGGTGTGAAATCTATTCATTTAACCCTAGGAACACAACAACAACGTGGAAAATCTGCTGAGTTAGCCCCAGCACCACAGTTGCAAAAAAGGAAATCACTAGATTTGAACTCCAGTTCACGGTTGCAAGGTCTGGAATATGTTCATTCGGCCCTACCACCAGAGTTTCCAGATATAAAAGCTGTGGAGTTGACCCTAAGACCACTACAGAAAGATATGAAATCTGTGGAGTTGGCCCCAAAGCCATGGTTACAAGATGAAAGATCTAAGGAGAAAGCCCCAGTACTATTGCTTAAAGATATGAAAATTCCTCAAATGGTAGGATGTAGAAAGTTGATTCCCAAAACACAGGTAGGAGGTATGAAATATGAGGAGCCGATCGCAGCAGCACACATTCAAGCAGTAAAATCTGTAGAGCTGAACCTCATGCCAAATCATCAAGCCAGAGAACGTGAAGGATTGACCCCATGGCATCAAACTTTAGAATCTTCAGAAATGATCACAGAGCCGCGATATCAAGGAGCAGAAGCAGAGTTGACCTCTGACACTTGTCACCACAGGAAAGAATCTATGGAGTTGAAAAAATCATCTTTAAGAAGTACTCCAGGGCCATTGAGTCAGACTTCAGAATCTATGCAGGTGAACTCAGTGCCATTCCAAAGTGCTCTTGAGACAATGCTCCAAGGTGTAAAAGCCTTGGAGACTCGAGGGTCTCAACACATAATACAAGAATCTCCAGAGTTGGTACCAGGATCAGAGATGCAAGGAATGAACCCAGAAGTGTTGAACCCAGAGTCCCAAGGTATGAAGTTTGTTCATCTGAATCTAGGACCATATTCAGAATTTATGAACTATAAGGAGTTGACCTCAGAACCACAATTTCAAGGTGTGAAATTTGTGCCATTGACCTCAGAACTGCAGCCCCAAAGTACAAAACCTGAGGTGTTGACTCTAGGCCCATTAATGCATGGTAATACATTTATGGATTTAACTGTACCACTGGAAGAATCTAGGAGGTTAATTCCTGAAACACACTTACATGTTGAATCAAGGAAACTAACCATGGAACCACACTTACAAGCAATGAAATCTGTGGGTCCAACTTCTAGACCAAGGCATCAAGACACAGCATCTGCAGAGTTATATTCTGAGACCTGGCCACAAGAGGAGGAATCTGTGAAATTAATCCCACAGCAAGTCGTGGAAACTACTGGGATGATGCCCAGGCCATGTTTTCAAAAATTTTCAGAGATGACTCCGGGGCCAGGCTATCAAGACACAGAAACTGCGAGGCTGGTTTCTGAGGCTTTGCTCCAAGTGGCATTAACACAAAAACCAACAGGTCAAGTTATAGAATCTACAGGAATGACTCTAAAACCACACCTTCAAGTTTTTGAGCCTTCAGAGATATCCCTAAGGTCAGAATATGAAAACACAGAATCTTTTGGGTTGGCATCGTTTCAAGTTGAAAATATCCAGGAGACAATGCCAGTACCACCATATTCAGTAAAAGGATCTCCAGAATTGACTTTAGGACCAGGGATGCAATATGAGAAATCAGAGACACTAATGCAAAATTTGAAATCTGTGACGTTAACCCCTGAGTCATCCCCATTAGTGGTAGGATCTAAACAATTTATCACAGGACCAAAACTACATGTTCTGGAGCCACAGTTCCAGGGAGTAAAGTCTATGCAGCTGGATCCAGAGCCACAATTACAGGATGTGGAATACGTTAATTTAATCCAACAACCAGCTACTACTGGAATGGTAGAATCTGAGAAGCTGGTACAAGAACCAGTACTACAAAGTATAATATCAGAGGAATTGACTAAGGGGGCACAGCTTCAAGGTGTGAAATTGACCCCAGGGCCACATTTGCAAAGTGTCAGATTTTCAAAGTCATCGCCAGGGCCACTTCTTCAAGGAGAAAAATCTGTAGATTTAATCTCAGGGTCACTACATCATAGTGTGAAATCTGATGAACTGACCCCAGGTTCCCCAATGCAAGAAATCAAATTGTCAGATTTTATCCCAGGGCCGAAGCATCAAAGTGTTATGTCTGTACAATTGTCTCCAGAACCACAAACTCAAGGTATGAAATTTGTGGGACAAAACTCAGGACCATGCTTGCAAGATGTCAGGTTTTCTGATTTGACCTCAGCACCAAATCATCAAGGTTTCAAACATGTGCAATGTATACCGGGAACACAGCTTCAAGATATACAGTCCTTAGGATTTGTAACAGAATTATCTTTGCAATCAAGCCAAGGGCTCTTGAGTGAAAATATGAAATCTCTTCTGTCTATTGAAGGATCACAGTTTCACAGCATGGAATCTATGAAATTGACCTCAGAACTACAGTTTCAAGGTGTGGAGTCTCAGGAATTGAACCTAGGACCAAGACAGCAAGATGTCAAATTTTCTGAACTGACTTCAGGGCCAAAGCTTCAAGGTGTCAAATTTGGGGAGCAAACCCCAGGATCAGTGTTTCAAGGTGTGAATTCTGTGGAGATGACTCCAGATTTAGGGCTTCAAGAATCTAAATTAGCAAAGACGTCTCCAGGGCCTCAAGATATAAAACAGGTGGGGCTTAACCCAGGGCCATGGCTACAAGATGTCAAATTTTGTGATCTGACATCAGGAATTCAACCTCAAGGTGTGAAATCTTCAGACTTAAACTCAGGGCCACAACTCCAATATGCGAAATTTTTTGAGTTGTCCCCAAAGCCAAAGATGCAAGGAGTAAGATCTGTGGGGTTGTCCCCAGGACCTCAAAAGCAAGTGGTCAAGCCTGAGATGTTACCAGAGACACTGTTTCAAGGTGTAAAAAATTTAGTGATGGATCAAATGTCAAATCTGGAAGGTAACGTTTCTTACAAAATTGTCTCCCAGCCACAGAAACCAGATGCAAAATCTATGGAGTTGACTCCTGAGTCACAGTTGCCAAGTGTAAACTATTCTGAGTTGACTAGAAGACCACAGTTTCAAGGTATAAAATCTTCTGAATTGATCCAAGGGCCACAGGTGGGAGGTGTGAAACCAATGGAGCTGACCCCAGGCTCAAAACTTCAAGGTTTAAAATCTGAGTTGTTGATCTCTGAGCTGAAAGATGTGAAATCTATGGCCTTAACTACAGGACAGTGTCTAAAAGGTATGAAATCTATGTTGCTAACCCCCAGTCCACAGCTGGAGGGTGAGAAATCTGTGGAGATAACTGCAGTACCATGGATAGAACATGTCAAATCTGTGAAAAACACCGAAGATACCAAGCTTCAAGGTGCAAAATCTGACTTGATTCTGCATGCAAGAATTCAAGAATCCAAAGCTGTGGAAACTGTGGAATTGAAATTTGGGCCAAAGATGCAAGGTGAGAAATCTGTGCCTTTTGCACCAGGGCCATTGCTCCAAGGGTCTGAACTGCAAGGTGTGAAACCTGAGGAACTGACTTTAGAGCCACAAACGCAAGATACAAAATTTGTCGACAGTACCCCATGTTTAAAGCATCAAAATTTAAAATCTGTAGAGGAAACTCTAGATTCAGAGCAGCAATGTGTAAAATCTGTGAAGTTGACCCCAAGGCTAAAGAACCAGGAAGTAAAATCTGTGAAAGTGACCAGAAGACCAAAGTTTCAAGGAGTAAAAGCTGTGGATTTAGCCCCAAGGCAACAGTTTCAAGGGACGGCACTTGCAAATTTAATTTCTGGACGGGAACAGGATGGCACGATATCTGTAATCTCACCAAAGCAGCAATGTGTGAATTCAGAGCAATTGAAGAGAGGGGCTAAGTCAGATGATGGGATGTCTTTGGAGTTAAGTCCAGAGCTAAAACTTGAAGGTAAAAAATTAGTAGACCTCAATTTTGAGTTACAGTTTGAAAGTATGAAATCATTTGAATTGACTTCAGAATCAAATATTCAAGGTTTAAAACCTAAAGAATTCAAACTTGAACCACTTGAACCACAGTTGCAAAGCATAAAGTCTCCTAAGTTGACCCCAGGGCCACCGTTGCACCAAATAAAACCCTCAGAGTCAGCTTCAGAACCACAACTTTGTGTAAAAACTGCTGAGTTAAAACAAGAGCCACTGCTTGAAAGTATGAGATGTATTCAGTGGATACCAGGACCTAAGTTCCAAGCTGTGAAATCTGTAGAGTTAAATCTCGGGTCACAGTCTCAAAGTGTTAAATCTGTAGGGTTGAAATCTTCGATACAGTTAAGAGATATGAAGTCATCTGAATTGACTCTAGGGCCAAAAACTCAAGGTGCAACATATACAGAGTTCAACCTTGGGCCACAGCTGCAGAACGTGAAAACCCCTGAGGTGCTTCCAGGACCACAGCTGCAAAAAGGGAAGGCTTTGGCATCAACCTCAGAGCCACAGCTTCAAGATGTAAAAACTATTGAGTTAAAAAAAGAGCCACAGCTGGAAAGTATGAGATGTATTCAGTGGATACCAGGACCTGATTTCCAAGGTGTGAAGTCTATAGGGTTACAATCTCAAGGTGTCAAGTCTGTAGGGTTGAAATCTTTGATACGTTTAAGAGATAGAAAGTCATCTGTGTTGACTCCAAGGCCAAAGCTCCAAGATACAGGATCTTTGGCATCACTCCAGGAACATCAGCCTCAAGATTGCGATTTGAAACCTTGTCTACAGGTTAGAAGTGTGAAATCACGTGATCTGACTTCAGGGTCAAAGCTCTGTGATATGAAATCTATGCCATTGAAATCTAGGCTTTGTGTGCATGATAGGAAATCTCCCAAATTGACTGCAGAACCAAAGCTTCAAGAAGTGAAACCCTTACAGTCATCCCCAGGAGCACAGCTTCAAGTTGTGAAGTCTCTAGTGCTTACAGAAGAGCCACAGCTTCCTGACATGAAATCTGGGGTATTAAGCCAAGGGTCACAATTTCAAAGCAGTACAACTATAGAGTTGAACTCCCCACTACACTTGAAATGCATGAAGTCATCTGAGTTGACTCTTCAGACAAAGCTTCAAGGTATGAAATCTGAGAATTTCAACTCAGGGTCACAGTGGCAAGATCTAAAATCTTCTAAGTTGTCACCTGAGATAAAGTCCCAAGATATGACATTTACTGAGTCAAATCCAAGTTCACAGTTGGAAGGTATAACATTTTCTAAACTGACTGCAGGGACAAAGATTCAAGGTACCAAATGTACAGATTTCAACCTTGGGCCATCATTACAAGGTGTGAATTCTTCTAAAAGGACCTCAAAGACAAAGCTTCAAAATGTAAAACATAAAGAAAGCTGCCCCAGTCCCCAGGTGCAAGTTGTGAAATCTGACCTGAGCCTGGGATCAAAGCTTCAAAATGTGAAATTGGTGTTCAACCCTGAGCCACAATTTCAAGGAGTGAAATGTTCTAAATTAATCTCAGAAACAAAGTTTCAAGATGTGGAATCTGCGAAGTTCAAACCTGGGCCACAGCTGAGAGGTGTGAAATCTTCTGAACTGATACTAGGGACAAAACTTCAAAAAGTGAAATCCATGGATTTCAAGTCAGGCCCACAGTTGCAAGATATGAAATCTTCTAGGTTGATCATGGGTATAAAACTTCAAGATGTAAAATCTATGAATTTCAAGTCTGGACCACACTTGCAGGATGTGAAATCTTCTCAAGTCATCTCAAGGGAAAAGTTTCAAGGTGTGAAATCTGTGGAATTGAAATCTAGTCCAAAGTTACAAGGTGAGAAATCTTCTGATTTGACCCCAGGGAGGAAGTTTTCAGGTGTGAAATCAGGCTCACAGTTACAAGATGTGAAATGTTCTGAGTTGATCATGGGTATAAAGCTTCAAGATAAAAAATCTGCAGGGTTCAGTTCTAGATCACACTTTCAAGGTCTGAAAACTTCTGAAGTGATCCCAGGGCCAAAGCTTCAAGAAGTGAAATCCTCTGAGTTCAACCATGGTCCAAAGCTACAAGGTGGGAAATCTGATTTGACTCAGAAGAGGAAGCTTCCAGGTGTGAAATCTGTGGAGTTCAACCCTGGACCACAGAGACAAGGTGGGAAATCTGATTTGATGCTAGAGTATAGGCTTCAAGATTTGCAATCTGTTGAGTTAAAACCTATTCCACGGTTACAAGGTGTAACATCTTCTGAGGTAACACCAAAAACAAAGCTTCAAAGTGGAGAATCTGTGGAGTTCCTTACCAGACCCATGCAGCAAGATATGAAATCTCTTGAATTGACTCTAGGTGCAAAGGCCCAAGATATGAAATCTTTGGGGTTTGAGTCAGGCCCACAGTTACAAAATAGGAAATTGCCTATGTTGACACCAGGGGCACACCTTCAAGGTATGAAATCTATGAAATTCAACCCTGGGGCAAAGTTCCAAGGTGCAAAATCTCCTGAGTCCATAAAGCTTCAAATAATGAAAACCACAGAGGTCAACCGCGACCTAGAATTCCAGGTTGCAAAACCCTCTGAGTTAGCCTTGGAATCAAAGATTTGCAGTGTGATATCTTCTGAGTTCAAAGCTGGGAAGCAGTGGCAAGAAGAGAAATCTTTGAAGTTGAAACCATGGCCAGAGCTTCAGAGTGTGAAATTTGTGGTCTACAATCCTGGACCACATTTGCAACATATAAAATCTTCAGAATTATGTAAAGAGACAAAGCTTCAAGATGTGAAATCTAGGGAATTTAATCCTGAGCAACAGTTACAAGATGTGAAATCTTCTGAGTTATGCCAGGGATCAAGGCTTCAAGGTATGCCATCATTAGAGTTCAATCCTGGGCCACAGTTACAAGAGATAAAATCTGAGTTGTGTACAGACATGAAGCTTCCATATGAGCAATTTCTGGAATTCAAGCATCAGCCTAAATTACAAGGTGGGAAATCCTCTGAATTGAATCCAGGGCCACAGCTTCAGTGTGTAAATGTTAGGGCATTCAGCACTGGGCCACAATTGAAAGGTATAAAATCTGAGTTGAATCCTGGGTCAGAGCTTCAAGGTACAAAATCCCAGGTGTTCTGCCTTGGGCCACCTTTACAAGGTGTGAATTCTTCTGCATTTATTTCAAAACCAAAATTTGGATGCAACTCTGAGCCACCCTTGCAAGGTATAAACCCTTCTGAATTAACTTCAGTATCAAAACTTCAAGGTACGAAGTCTTCTGAGTTGAGTTCAGGGACAGAAGTTCCAAGGGAGACATCTATGGTGTTCAACCCTGAACAACATTTGCAAGGTTTGAAATCTGAATTGATTCCAGGGTCAAAGTTTTTTGGTGTAGTACCTACGGAATGCAACCCTGAGCCACAGATGAAGTGTGTAAATTCTTCTAAGTTGAATCCAGAGCCAAAATTACAATGTGTAAATTCTATGGGGTGCAAACTTGGGCCACCTTTGCAAGGTATACAGTCCTTTGAATTGACTTCAGGGACAAAATGTCCAGGTATGGGATCTGAGGTGAATCCAGGGACCAAGAATCAAAGTGAGACATCTATGGTGTTCAGCCCTGAACCACATTTGCAAGGTTTGAAATCTGAATTGATTCCAGGGTCAAAGTTTCTTGGTGTAGCACCTATGGAATGCAACCCTGGGCCACAGATGAAGTGTGTAAATTCTTCTGAGTTGAATCCAGAGCTAAAATTACAATGTGTAAATTCTATGGGGTACGAACTTGGGCCACCTTTGCAAGGTATACAGTCTCTCGAGTTGACCTCAGGGGTTAAATGTCAAGGTATGGGATCTTTTGATTTGAATCTGGGGTCAGAAGTTCTAGGTATAAAATCTGTTATGTTCAACCCTGTGCAACATTTACAAAATGTGAAATGTGAATTGACTCCAGGGACAAAGTTTCAAGATATAACATCACGGGAATTCAACTGTAGCCCACAGCTGCAAGGTGTGAATTCTTCTGATTTGAATTTAGGGTCAGAACTTCAATGCATAAATTCTATAAAGTTTAATCCAGGGCCACAGATACAAGGCATGAAACCCTCTGAATTGAACCCTACATCAGAATATCAAGGTACAAAATCTATTCTGTTCAACCCTGGGCCACATTTGCAAGGTGTAAAATCTTCTGAGTTAATTCCAGGGACAAAGTTTCCAGAAATCCAGTTTTTGGAGAATCACTGTGGGTCACAGCAACAAGTTGTGCAGTCAGTGTTCACTTTAGGCTCTCCATTAAATGGTATGAAATCTCTCTTATTTTTACCAGAGCCACTGCTTGAAGATGTAAAGTTTGGGAAGATAAACAAAGAGCCATTGCTTTGTGATGCAAATTCTGTGAAACTGATTTCAGGCTCTGAGCTGCAGAACTGGAAATGTGAGATGTTTGCACTAGAGCCATGTTTAAAAGAAATGAAATCTGTGGCGTTAAATCCAGGGCCACATCCTCAAGGTATGAATTCTGGGGACTTGCCCTCACACCTCAGGCTGCACAGTGTGAGATCTGTGGTGTTTGCACCAAAGCTGTGTTTTCAAGATGTGAAATCTCTGGAGTTGAAACCAAGGCCACAACCTCAAGATGTGAATTCTAAGGATTTGATTTCTTGCCTCAGGCAGAAATCCGTGGTGTTTGAATCAGAGCCATGTTCTCAAGATGTGACATCTTTGAAGTCAAACCTATTGCCACAGCCTCAAAGTGCTAATTCTTTAGGGTTGTCATCAGGTCTAAGGTCACCAAGTGTTAACTCTGAGGTCTTTGCACCAGAACCATGTTTTCAAGATGTGAAATTCGTAGAGTTGACACCAGGGTCCCAACAGCAAGGTATGAATTGCCGAGAGTTGATTTCAGGATGGCAAGGTATGAAATCAGTGGTGTTGGCACCAGAGCCAAATAAGAAGTTCATACCAGGACCAATGTTGAGTAGTGTTAAATTTTCAAATTTGTCTCTAGAATCACAGCAACAAGGTGAGAAACCTTTGGAGTTTACTCCAGAACCAAAGTTTCAAAGTATAAAACATGTGAAATTGTCTTCAGTATCTCTGCAACAAGATATAAAATCTGCAGAGTTACCACCGGGGTCACTGCTTCAAAGAACAAAATCTGAGGAGCTAACTCCAAAAAGAAGCTATCAAATCACAGACTCCTCTGAGATAATCCCTAGGCCAGAGCTTCAGTTTGTAGAACATGCAGAGATGATCCCAACACCAAAGCATCAGATCTCTAAATCTGTGAATTTGATTTCAATACCAGTTTATCACATCACAGAAAGGTTGGCACATCAAGGCAGAGAAACTGTAGAAAAATCTGTGGGGTTCACCCCAAAGCCAACAAGTAAAGCCATGGAATCTTCAGGAGTGCCTCTAAGGCTAGATCTTCAAGTACCAGAATCTGTTGATCTGACTCCTGTGCTAAGAAAGCAAGACTCTAAATCCTTAGAGTTAACCCTAAAGAAAATCCCAGAAACTCTAGAGTTGCTCTCTCAGTCATGGCCTCAAGTTAAGGATTTGGGGGAGTCACATACAAGGCCACTGCAGCAAGTTGTAGGATCTGAAGAGATGACACCAGAGCCCAAGCATCACACTACAGAAACTATGGGGTTGACCTCCAAGGCAGGGCCAAAAGGGAAGGAATTCTTTGGAATGACCCCAAAGCCAATAAGTAAAACCACTGGATATGCAGAGAGAGTTCTAAGGCCCTATCCTCAAGCACTAGAATTTGTGGAGATGATCTCTGAGAAAAGACTGCAAAGGGAAGAATTGGAAGCACTGACTACAAAGTCATTACATCATGTCCCAGAATCTCCAGAGGTGACACCAGGGCTAGGATATCAAGTTCCTGAATCTGTGGGTTCAACCTCTAAGCAATGGCTTCAAAGAGAGGAATCTTTAGATTTGCCTCCAAAGCAAAGAGGTCAAGTTGCAGGACATGCAGAATCTGGAGAGCTCACATCTGAGACATGGCAGCAAGGGGATAGATCAATGGGGCTGACAGAGTCACAGAATCAACGCATGAAATATTCACAGACAGCTCCAGGACTACGGAGTCAAATTACAGAATTTATGAGGATTACTCCAAAGCCACTAGATCAAGTCACAGGATCTACAAACATGCAGCTTCAAGCTGCTCAACCAATAGGAATAACCCCAGTAGCCCCCCCAAAAGTTATTGAATATGTGAAAGTGACTCCTGGGCCACCACTTCAGGTTGTGAAGTCTGTAGCATTAACACCAGGGCCAGCCTCTCAAATGGTAGACTATGTTGAGTTGACTCCAAAACTGCAACATGTGAGACCTTCTGAGTTTACCCCAGGGCTATTGTTGCAAAGTGTAAAATCAAAGGAATTAACCACAGAGCCAAAACACCAAATTTTGGAAATAATGAAGTTGGCAGGGTTTCAAATTGTAAAGACTGTGTTAATCCCAGGGCCACCACTTCAAATTGTAAAATCTGAGGAATTAGCACCAGGACCAATTCCTCAGATTGTAGAACCAATAGGAGTAGCTTTAGGATCAGCTATTGATTGTTTGGATTTATTCCCAAGGCCACATCTTCATGAAATGGTAGAACCTGTAGAATTAACTCCAAGGCCAAATACCGAAGTAAAATCTGCAGAATTACTCTCACAGTCAGCATTTTCATTTGAGGAACCTAGTGTGTTCACTCATGAACAAGGGCTTCAAGCTGTGAAAGCAATAGGGACAAAAACAGGGCTTCCTCAAAGCATGGAATGTAAGGATTTGAATCTAGCACAGGTATATCAGAATAGGGAATCTGAGGATTTTATGTCAATAGAGAAGTTACAAATAGGAAATTATTTCTCTAGATTTCTACAGAACTCTTCAAACTCACTCATCCCAAGCTCTGTCGAAGCATCTGAATTAGGAAGCCTTTGTGATTTGGAGATGCCAGAAGTATCAAGGGTCTTGGATATAAAAAACCTTGGGACAGATATTTTGCAGCCTGAAGAGTCCTTTATAGACCCTACTATGATACAAGCTTCAACCCTTCCCTTGTCCCTTCACAATCAACCCTCTGATAAGATAGCTAACATTGTAGAAACCCCACATTTTGAGATCCCAGGAGTGGGTGTCATATCTAAGAGGATGGATAAGAAGCAGGTGGAAAAGCTAGAGAATTCACTCCAGCGCCTATCCCAACATCCACTGCAAAGCTGGCGATCACCATCTAGGACCTTCCAGTCAGGATCAGGAACTCAAAGAGGCTTTACCTGGTCTGTCCTGGGCAGACAACAGAATGTCTGGGAGAATCACTCCTGGAGACAGCGACTACCTAGAAAATATCTCTCCAACATGCTAATGCTGGGGAATGTCTTGGGAACCACTATGGAAAGGAAGCTTTGTTCTCAAACATCTTTAAGGGGAAGAGCGACTGAAGATATCTGTCAATCTATTCAGAATTTATTTGGGGTTCCAGCTGAACTGATGGAATTTTCCCAGAGTCTGCTAGAGAAGAGTCGAAGTATTATTTCTCAGACTTCAGTGTCCAAAAACTACATTCAGAGACACACTTCATGCCATGGTCATGAGCAAAGAATAGCCTTAAGGATGTGGACACGTAGCTCCCTGTCCTCCATAATACAGCAATACTCTGGGACTAGAATGAGAATAAAGAAAAGTTCGAAGCTCAGTGATATATCCCAGGAAGTCACTCAGCACATGCCTGTTTTATGTACAGGGGGCCAGCCTCCCGCCCCAGGAAGTTTAGAGTCTTCCTTCAACATAGTTTTCACTGGGAAAGATTCTGTTCCAGTGGAAGAGAGTGAGAACTCACAGAGTAATTCACAGGCAAGGATTTTTGAGTCCCAACAGTGTCTCAAGCCAAGTTATCTTCCCCAGGCCAAGACTGACTTCTCAGAACAGTTCCAGTTGCTACAAGATCTGCAGCTAAAAATAGCAGCAAAACTGTTAAGGAGTCAAATACCCCCAAATGTACCTCCACCTCTAACTTCAGGTTTGGTTTTAAAATACCCTATCTGCCTACAGTGTGGCCGATGTGTAGGATTTAATTGCTGTCATAAATTACAGGGCACTTTTGGGCCTTACCTTCTTATCTATCCACAGCTCCACCTTGTAAGCACTCCTGAAGGCCACGGAGAGATTAGGTTGCATCTTGGCTTTAGGTTGCGAACTGGAAAAAGAACCCAAGTCCCAAAGTACCACAAAAGAGACAGACCCATCACACCAAGGAGTCCTATATCACCATCACTAAGGAAAGCTAAAGTCTATACTCGAGCTTCCAAGAGTCCTACTTCTACAATAGATTTCCAGTCTGGATCTTCCCAATCTCCTGTACAAGTCCACATCAGGCAAAGGCAGTATATTGGCCCTGACCTAGGAAAGACAGAAATTGGAGAGCTGGGGCACTATGAATTTACTCAAGTTCACTCTCTACCAGAGAGTGACTCTGAAAGCAATCAGGATGAAAAATGGGCTAAAAGGAGAACCAAAAAGACCCATAGTTCAAAATACCCAACGAAAAGAATCACTAAGGGAGGCATAACACAAAACACAAAGTTCTACACGAATGGTAGAACCACAATACAGAGTCCTTCCAGGGACTTACCAGCCCAGTTAAGAAGGAAAAGGAATGGAGCATCTCACACAATTACTGCCTCTTTAAAAAGACAATCTAAGAAATCCTCCCAACCCAAATTCATTCAGCTGCTTTTTCAAGGCCTAAAGCAAGCATTCCAGGTAGCACACAGAATTATGGCTTTTGCTGGGCCAAAGCCTAAGGACAGGTCAAGGCCAGACCATTTGCGCTCAAGCAAAAACCACCATCTAAAACAAAAAGCCAGAGATTATTCCTTATCAAGAGATATCAAAAGAGACAGGATGCCAGTTGTTAAGCTAAAACCAACAGACATAACCACTAAGCAGGAGAAGATATTATGGGAAGAAACAGAGCAATTCAGATCAGCTCAACAACCAAAAAGAGATAGCTCTTTCCAACTCAGACGTACCCAACTGCCCAAGCCCATAGTTTCCCAAAGAAGTGCCATTTTCAAAACCACTTCAGTCGGACAGTGTATGGGTATTGTTCAAAATGACAGTAGCAGCAAAGCTAAGAAAAACTTCTGCAGAAGTGAAATCTCTAGCCAGGAGTCCAAGAACTCCAAAACAGGGACCAGAGTTCAAGACCGAGGGAGAAATCTACATGGTTCACTTAAGAGAACCTCACAGAGTCACCTTAAAGAGAAACTCATGCTCAAGAAGCGAAAACACCGTAGCTTCTTAAGGGAGAGAACCCCATGTAATTCCTCTGAAAGGAGCCATCGCAGTCCCTCTGAGAGGAGATGTCACAGTCCCTCTGAGAGATGTCGCAGTCCCTCTGAGAGGAGCCATCGAAGTCCTTCTCTAAAGAGCCACCAGAGTCCCTCTGAGGGGAGCCGTCGAAGTCCTTCTCTAAAGAGCCACCAGAGTCCCTCTGAGGGGAGCCGTCGAAGTCCTTCTCTAAAGAGCCACCAGAGTCCCTCTGAGAGGAGCCGTCAAAGTCCTTCTCTAAAGAGCCGTCACAGTCCCTCTGAGAGGAGCCATCAGAGTCCCTCTGAGAAGAGATGTCGCAGTCCCTCTGAGAGGAGATGTCGCAGTCCCTCTGAGAGGAGCCATCGAAGTCCTTCTCTAAAGAGCCATCACAGTCCCTCTGAAAGGAGCCATCAGAGTCCCTCTGAGAAGAGATGTCGCAGTCCCTCTGAGAGGAGATGTCGCAGTCCCTCTGATGAGAGGAGCCGTCAAAGAGATGTCGCAGTCCCTCTGAGAGGAGATGTCGCAGTCCCTCTGAGAGGAGCCATCGAAGTCCTTCTCTAAAGAGCCATCACAGTCCCTCTGAGAGGAGCCGTCGAAGTCCTTCTCTAAAGAGCCACCAGAGTCCCTCCGAGAGGAGCCGTCGAAGTCCTTCTCTAAAGAGCCACCAGAGTCCCTCTGAGAGGAGCCGTCGAAGTCCTTCTCTAAAGAGCCACCACAGCCCCTGTGAGAGGAGACATCGACATCCTTCTCTAAAGAGCCATCACAGTCCCTCTGAAAGGAGCCATCAGAGTCCCTCTGAGAAGAGATGTCGCAGTCCCTCTGAGAGGAGCGCAGTCCCTCTGAGAGGAGCCATCGAAGTCCTTCTCTAAAGAGCCATCACAGTCCCTCTGAGAGGAGCCGTCGAAGTCCTTCTCTAAAGAGCCACCAGAGTCCCTCTGAGAGGAGCCGTCAAAGTCCTTCTCTAAAGAGCCGTCACAGTCCCTCTGAGAGGAGCCATCAGAGTCCCTCTGAGAAGAGATGTCGCAGTCCCTCTGAGAGGAGATGTCGCAGTCCCTCTGAGAGGAGCCATCGAAGTCCTTCTCTAAAGAGCCATCACAGTCCCTCTGAAAGGAGCCATCAGAGTCCCTCTGAGAAGAGATGTCGCAGTCCCTCTGAGAGGAGCCATCGAAGTCCTTCTCTAAAGAGCCATCACAGTCCCTCTGAAAGGAGCCATCAGAGTCCCTCTGAGAAGAGATGTCGCAGTCCCTCTAAGAGGAGATGTCACAGTCCCTCTGAGAGGAGCCATCGAAGTCCTTCTCTAAAGAGCCACCAGAGTCCCTCTGAGAGGAGCTGTCAAAGTCCTTCTCTAAAGAGCCACCAGAGTCCCTCTGAGAGGAATCATCGAAGTCCTTCTCTAAAGAGCCGTCACAGTCCCTCTGAAAGGAGCCATCAGAGTTCCTCTGAGAAGAGATGTCGCAGTCCCTCTGAGAGGAGATGTCGCAGCCCCTCTGAGAGGAGATGTCACAGTCCCTCTGAGAAGAGCCATCGCAGTCTCCTTCAGAAAACTCATCACAGTCCCTTAGAGGGGAGAGGACACAGCCCTTTTGAGAGAAGACAGCACAGGCCCTCTGAGAGGAGCGGTCGCAGTTCCTCAGACAGAAATCATTGTAGTCTCTCTGAAAGAAGCGGACACAGGCACTCTGAGAGGAGCAGACACAGTCATTCTGAGGAGAGCCAACACAGCCACTCTGAAAGGGGCCAACATAGTTGGTCTGACAAAACCCATCTCAGTCCCTCTGAGAGAACGCGTCACAGTCCCGCTAAGGAGAGACTCAAGCACAGCTCCCCTAGGGAGAGGCTCAGACATAGTCTGTCTAAAGATTGCAAGGGTTACTCAAACACATCTCCTAGGGACCACACACAAAATACTCCAAAGCAGGGCAAGTTTAGAGGCCTGAAGCTAACAGATGAGAAGAGATTCGCCCCCATTATTCATTGACTGGCTCAAGTCTTCACCGAGCTGCCCCTTTCCTGGCTTCTTTCCCACTCAGCCACTGTCTCCAATACCTGCATCCTCAGCAATCAAAGAGCCTCTATGCCTCTCTACCTGGGGGGGAGGGAGGGCGGGAATGGGTCTGTAATTTCTCTAAGATAAATAAAGGGGCAATAATTGATCTCCATCTACAAAGACCACTCGTCGTGCTGGGTGGGGAATGGAGGGTGGAGGGACATTTGGTGTCGTGCAAACGGATGGAACGCGAGGAAGGGGTTCTGAGGCCATGTTGAGGCTCCAAACCCCACCTCCAGCTTCCCGGGGCGGGGTCTCAGAGGAGGGAGGCGTGTCACGTGACTCACTCCGGCCGCAGCCCCCTCGGAAGCTGCCAGGCGGAAGTAGACGTTCAGACCTGGGATCTGCGGCGCCGACTCCACATCCGGGAGAGGAGAGGAGAGCGGAAGTGGCGTTGGTCTGGCCGGAGCCTTTGGGTGGATTTGTTAGGCGTGGAGAGGGAGTGATGTCTTCCAGACTCGGTGCAGTACCCGCCGTGAGTTTCTCGGTTTGACCGTTATACTTTAGAGGTAGCGCTGTGGAGCCCGCAACACGCGGTCCCTCGCTTTTGTCCCATGCTCAGAGTTGATTTTATCAGAGCCCATCGTAGGCCCCACCCTTCTAGGTCAGATATACCTGTCTCCCTTTCCCCCCCCCCCACTTACCGCTGACTGTTCCCCACTTCCTTGGACTCAGTTTCTCGCCATATTGCCATTATTTTCTATTCCTTTTATATCCCCAGTACCTCCCATATCCGTTGTCCTCTCTTTTCGCCTCCCTTTAGAACCTTTATCTGGGACAGAGCTTTGGGAATGGAGATGAAGACTATGGTGTTGTCAGCTGCCTTAACTCTGTAGGAAGACAGGACGACACACTTTTCTTAAAAAGTCTTGCCTTTTTCCGTTCGAGGTAGTTGCCTGGGGAGAGCTTCATTTCTTCTGGGCACAAGGGGATTCGTCTTTTTGTGGTCAGGGTTCAGAGGTCCCTAGCATTCACTCATGTGCTTGCGATTTGCTAGACTCCGGAACCCACATCCTTTAAGCAGCAGAGGAGCACGAAGATCGTGGGAGCTAAGAAGTAAGTGAGGTTTTCTGGGATCCATTTTTAATTGTGTCGCCAGCGCTGTCCAGTAGAACTTCCTGTGATGATAAGAAAATGTTCTTTATCCGCATTGTCCAGGACCATAGCCACGTATGGCTTTTGAGCGCTTGAAATGTGGCCAGTGTGATTGAGGAACTGAATTTTTAACTGTATTTAATCTTAAATTTAAATAGCCACCTGTAGCTAGTGCCTACCTGATTGGACAATGCAGGTCTAAACCTAATACAGGGGAGAAGAACCTAGCTTGCAAAGAAAAGTACGAATTATATTAAAAATGGAATGTATGACTCAGTGTAGCCCCGCATGTCCTCAGACATCAAATACATACTTATGAATACATTGATGAACATGGGAAGGACTGATAAAAATGGCTGTAAGAAATCCTTTTATTTTCAGACTATTTGGCTTTAAGACTGGTTGTTTATTTCGTACACTGAACGTGCTAACCTTTTCCATATTAGTACAAAAGAGATTCTTATTAACTAGATATTCATTGGAAGGAATAAATTAATTCAGATAACATTTGCTGAGTATCTGTTATGTGCTATATAACACATATATCTGTTAGATATACAGACAAGAAAAACACAGTAGTCTAAAAGGGGAGATAGGCAAGTACATCAACATGATTAGGTGTAAGTAAATATTTTTAAACAGGAATTTAATAAAGCGTTTGGGGGAAAGGGGGTGATAGTTCAGAAGGGAAGAGTTGCCAGAGCAAGGACTCCTACTAAATAGACTTGAAAGTCAAGGAATAATGCAGTTAGCCAGAAGGAAAAGGTATTTTTTATAGAGAACAAAATGTGAACAGGTAAAAGCATTTAATGGAATAGCGGGTGGTTAATTGTTAAAAAATATAAAGATTAACAGGTCCTCATCTATTAATCTGAATCAGAAACATTGGAGTTAGGGCATAGGAATCCTTTTTAACTGACTTTGTAAGAGATTGTGAAGTTTGAGAACCATTGGTGAGAAGTGAGACTAGAAGAGACTAGAGGATGAAACCCTGGAGAACGTCAGCATTTAAGGATTGGGTAGAATGAACAGAGGCTGCAAAGGAAACTGGGATGAACTGAAATAATTTTCTAATGAAGTCTAAGTAGTTGCACCTAGAGAATGAACTAGGGTCTCTGAAAGATTCTTGGTCGATCAGAAAGGAGCTGAAAATTGGTCAGACTTTTCACTCTTGTGGTTAGAAGCTGAGACCAAAAGGTGTGCCACAGACAACAGATTATAAAGTTACTACAATTATGATCATATTGTTCAAACCAGAGTCTTTTTCTTGCCATATTTATGGAAAGGGAAGTTTAAGATTAATCTGGGTTTTTACAAGCAGTCAAGTACCCTCATTTGACAAGTATTGTTTTTGTTGAGTCCTTTAAAAATGAAAGAGACCTATAGGGAGGGATTCCCTAACTACATTGATTTAATTTCCAAGATGTTAATCATACTGATTATATAAACTATTGATGTTTATTTATTTATTACTGTTCTTGTACTTATTCATGAGAGGGGATATGGGTATATCTGAGTCCTACACTGACAGTAAAGACATTCCTATGAGGATAGTTTACCAAGAGGAGTCACGTGGGACTTGGCTCTTAATGGCCTCTTGATACTATTAAGTCTTGCTAGTAGGCATTGTTCCCATTGTTTTGGATGGTGGATTTTGGCCCTAGAGGCCTGCCAATTCCTATTAAAATTTTTTAAATACTTTTATTGAGGTATAATTGAAGTACAATAGACTGCATATTTATAGTATACATATTTAAAGTATACAGTATGGGGCGCCTGGGTGGCTCAGATCATGATCCCAGGGTCCTGGGATCGAGTCCCGCATCGGGCTCCTTGCTCAGCAGGGAGTCTGCTGCTCCCTCTCCCTCTGCCTTTCCCCCTGCTTGTTCTCTCTCTGTCTCTCTTGCAAATGAATAAATAAAAATCTTAAAAAAAAAAGTATACAGTATGACCAACTTTAATGTATGTAAGTAACCATAACTGTCACCACAATCAAGATAACATTTCCATCCCTCTGAAAAAATTTTTTGGGTTCCTTTGCAATCCATTCCTTCCTCTACTCCTGTTCCCAGACACCACTGACCTTTTTTCTTTCTAGGATTTTATATAAATGAAATCATGTAGTATGTTCTTCTCTTTTTGCATGATTTTTTTCACTCAAAATAATGATTTTGGATGAAAATTAATTTTTATTGCTGAACAAAATTTCATTATAGATAACATTATGATTTGTTTAGCCATCTACTTTGATGGATATTTGGGTTATTTTCGTTTTGAGGGTATTAAAATAATGCTGTTATGAACATCCACGTACAAGTCTCTGTGTAGAAAAATGTTTTGTTTTGTATTTTCTCTTGATAAATACCTAAGATGGTATTTATTTACTAAGATTTACCATCTTAGGTTGATTGGGTCTTATGTCAGGAGTATGTTTACCTTTTTAAGAAATTGCCGGTTTCCCAAATTGGTGGTATTATTTTATATTCTTACCAGCAGTGTATGGGAATAAGTCTTTAATTTTAGCCAATTTTATGGGTGTATAGTTGTGTTTCATTGTGATTTTAATTTGCATTTCCCTGACGAATAATGATGTAGAACTTCTGTTCATGTGCTTATTAGCCATTCATATATCATCTTCTGGGAAGTGCCTGTTCATATCTTTTGCCCATTTAAAAAAATTGAGTTGTTTGTCTTACTATGGAATTGTAGTATTTTTAAAAACTATATTCTGAATACAATTCCTTTGTCTGATAGATGTGTCTTGAATATTTTCTTCCAATCTCTGATTTGCATTTAATTTTCTTGATGGTGTGTTTGAAGACCAACAGTTTTGTTATTTATTTTTTTAAAGATTTATTTATGTAGTTTAGAGAGAGGGAAAGGGCAGAGGGAGTGAAAGAATCCCGAAGCAGACTCCCTCTTGAACGTGGAGCAGCCCAACTTGGGGCTTGATCCCAGGACCCTGAGATCATGACCTGAGCTGAAGCCACTCAACTGACTGAGCCACCTGGGTACCTTGAAGACCAACAGTTTTATATTCATCATTAAAAATGATTAAAATGTTATTTTTTCCTTTTATGTTTCTTATTTTTGTATTCTATTTGAGAAAACTTTGCCATCCCTAATTGCAAAGATTTTCTGCTTTGTTTTTTTTTAGAAGTTTTCTAGGTTTTACATTTAGGTCTATTGACTTGGTTAGAGTTAATTTTTTGTGGATGGTGTGTTATAAGAGTCAATGTTAACTTCTTTTCATTTTGTATATCCTGTTAAGACTTTCCCTATTCAATTGCCTTGGCACCTTGGTCAGAAATTATTTGAACATATATATGTGTGGGTCTGTTTCTAGACTCCTTATTCTGTTCCATTGATGTATATATCTGTCTTTTTGCCAATACTAAACTGTCTTGATACTGTGGGATTAGAGTGAGTCTTGAAATCAGATAGGGTAAGTCATCTAGCTCTTTTGTTCTTTTTCAAAATTTGTTTAGTTATTCTAGGTTCTTTGTCTTTTTATATAAATTCTAGAATTAGTTTGTCAATTTCTATAAAAAGAAGCATGCTAGAGTATTGATCAGTATATTGTATTGAATCAGTAGATCAGTTTGGGGAGAATTGCCATTTTAACAATACCGAGTTTTCTGACTTACGAGCATGCTATATTTTTCCATTTATTTAGATCCCTAACTTCTCTGTAAGTTTTCATTATGAAAATCTTGGTTATCTTTTGTTAGATTTGTTTTTAGGTGTTTTTTTATATTATTGTAAATGACACTATTTTTATAAATTCATTTCTGGTTGCTTGTTGCTA